ATTGTGACATTACTATGTTTCAATTGTTAATTACGTGGAATATCGAGACGAAGTTCTAGGGGGACATTTTTAGATATTTGTTTAAATTAATATTCCTCTGAACGTGACACGAAAAATTCGAACTTAGAAATTCTTACTGTGGAAAAAATAATATGTACTATTTATTACAATATATCGTAATAAATAATATGCTCTTTTTTTACTTACTAATTAAAAAATGCAATATTGTAAATACTTTACATATTTTTGAATACCACGCGCTCTACATTTTTTAAATCGTTAGATTTCCCATAAATGCATAGAAATTCACGAGAAAGAACCTATAGTTTCGTAGATCCCCTTTTCAAGAAACGTAGCCAAAGTGAAAATTATCGGGAGGTAGAAACTTACGAAAATTTCGATAAACTGGAGATCGACTCTCGTAATAATGATCAGCTTGGTAAAAAAAACATCGATACGACAATTATTGGACACTTGGGATAATCTATTGTTTCGATAAATCTTATTTGTTCGCTTATCGGTAAGATTGAATTCACTATCAGTTTAAACATAGTAGCAACGGTGACAAACATACAGAAGTCGAGGATAAGGCAGTTTGATCAAACAATAAATCAACAAGTTTCACGAATAACACAGAAATCACAGAGATAGAAATTTACGATCGTTTAACGATTCGCAGCCGTAAATTGCATTAAATTTTTACAGATAACGCAGAAACGAAATTCAAAAGCCTGCTCGGGACGATTTGTTTCAAAGTTTATAAAAACATGAAACGACACCTTGTGCAACGAAAGAACTTCTGCAAAATATTCACAGATGAAAGTTATCTTTCGTTAAATAAAATAATTCGCGCAATGGAAATACACAAAATTTTCCACAAATTTCCCGAGCTCACTGCTCGCCATTCTCAATCTATATAATATTATCGATTCAAATAAAATACGAGTCAAACATTGACAATACAAATTAGGAATTAAAAGTGTATAAAATCGAATGACAAAGATAAATTAATCGCTTATGATATTTAATGCTGATCAATGATTACGGACAGATTACGGGAATTATTCGTGATTGATCTTAACACACGATAACCGATCGACTGACATTTACATTTAGCAATCGATTATACCGCAGAGATCGCCACGTGAGAGATCAATCATCGCCCAACTTCACGCTGATAAATGAATTAAAAGATCAGTCACATTAATTAATTGAATTAATTACTCGCGATCGAGTGTCGCGACGAGAGGTCAAATGATTTACACGATTCTAAAAATCACCTTGCGATTTCCATCGCAAACATCCCCGTTCGTTTCTCGTTCGAGTATCAGAAAATCCGCGGGGGGCGGTCAACGTCCCTTTCGACGGCCACAAGGTCGCCGCGCGAGATATAAATACGAACGAGCGCGGATAATCGGTCACGATCCTGCCAGGAACATGTGCACGAGAAAAAGAGTAGAGAAGGACAAAGCGTCAGATAGTGGGTTTCGACACTGATTCCAACGCTAAATAAAACGTCCCGGAGGACCACGTTGGACCACGTGCGGAGACCCGAAGCCGTATTGTCGCGTGGTTTCACGAGTATATTGTGCAAATAGGATTGTGTAAACTCGACATCGCGGTGATAAGGGGCACGCTTATTTTTAGCAACTCTCGTCTGGCAGCTTCCTACCAATATTTAAATCATCCGAACGAGGAGATACGTATGTACGTATGTACTGGACGTTCGTACAAGAGCGAGAAGCGTGTAACTCGCGGTTTATCGATCCTCGTTTCTCGAACAGGCTCCCGTTGTCACGGTTAGGCTATCACCAAGACGGTGGCAATTGATACTCTAATTGGTAACACGGCGGAATGGGTAAAATTGGGGTGAAGTCGATTACCTACTGCGGGGAAATTGGGAACGAGCATTTCGTTGTTTTTATATATTATATAAATAAATTATTTAATAGTAATATATATATGTATATATATATATATATAAATTATTTAATAATAATATATATTTATATGTAAATTATTTAATATATATATATATATGTGTATATATATAAATTATTTAATAATAATAATAATATATATTTATATGTAAATTATTTAATAATAATATATATATATATATTTATATGTAAATTATTTAATATATATATATAAATTATTTAATAATTGGCACGCTTCGAAAATTTAGATAGCCAATGGTGATTAATAGTGTTAGTAACGTTCGAGTCTCAGTTTCGAATTGACCCGGTGTTTTTTTTTTCTTTAAATCGTCGAAATTCGTATAACTCGATACTCGTAAAGTCTTGATAGACTCTGATAATCTTGGAAGCATTGGAAGTTGCGAAGGTTTTCGAGTTTCTCTTGGAAGTCTCGAAGGTCTTGCAATTAGATGGTTTAGATTCAACTTCTTCGAGGCCTTTATGCAATC